AAATTCATTTGTTTGTTTGCATTAAATAGGCACTGAAACTACTGATTCGAATTGAATAATTTGGAAATTATGTAAATCCATTTTGATATAATCTACAAAATAATTGAACATCTATTGTTATTATAGGATGTTCGTTAATCACATACAAAATATTGTAAAATATGTTCCTCAACTCAAATTAAAAAGTTAAACCTGTACAATAATAGAATAATCCTAATTGTTTACCTCAATATTTTTGGTGCAAGAAATACTAAAAGTTTTTCTTAACCTTTACATAATTGTAGCTAATTCCTTTAACATTTATAATATTTTACTAAATTTTATTTTTTACTGTTACTTTATAACATATATAAATTCTTCCTTTATATCTGTATGTCCTTTTCTATCTCACTTATTAACCAATATGTTTTACCCTTTCTGTCTCACTAAGTACCTGGACGTATTATGGCTGGTAGGACAACTTTACATTTTGTAGCATGTTTTGCTTCTCGTAATTTTTACATATTAATAAATAGCTTGTAGATAAATAAATAAAAACCATAAATACAACTTCATAAAAATATACGATGACTTTAAAATAATTTTTAACTTAGTTTTTTTTAAACTTTGTTTTTTGCTTTTATTCAAAAAAGAAATAATACCACAATAAGGGTTAATAAAATAAGTGTATGAATGTATTATAAAAATATGTAACATTTTTTGAACATGATGTATCTGTGTGGCTTATACCAAAAAAAATTTTTTTTTGAAAATTTTGTCTGTCACAAAATAAAAATAAGGAATGTCATTCACATTACAGGCACATTATCATCACCGACCAGCCGTCAGTCCTCAGAAGACAGCAGCACATCCGCCAACCAGCCCACCATGTGGCTGGGTACAGAAGACGGCTGCATACATGTCTACAACTGCCTAGATAATATCAGGATTAAGAAGAACAAGATCAAGTTGCAACACAATTCTGGCGTGCATTCTATAGTGTGAGTATTTTGGTTAAAAGTAGAATCCTGGAAGGACATTTGATACTTAAATCATAATTTTTTAAAGTCACTAAGGGTGACTAAATTTAGATTCGTAAAAGAAATCTACATCTTGAATTATTGCGCCCCCTATCGAGGGATTTTCTTAACTATAATTGTAAATTCACTAACTATTCTGCTGTTTTATGTTAATGAACACACAAAGTTGTTGTAAAATGGCTTTTGTTAAAGGTACATGGAGGGCAAAGTATTTGTTGCTCTTGGCAACGGCGATCTTGTGGTCTACTGCCGGGATATTGGTGAGTACTAATAACAACCAGTCTGCGAAAAACCAAAGACTGAACAATTTGCATACCATCTTCTTATAGGTTTAACACAGTACTAGCTGTCGCGCGCGAATCCGTCTGCGATGATTTAAAAAACACTTAATTAGTGGCTCTATCTATTTAATTTCAGCGAGATCTGTGTAATCGTTCTGGAGATATCTTCAAAACATTCAAACTTTTTCATTCATAATATTAGTAATAGTAAGATATCTATTATTAAGGCAATAGTGAGACGCGAGACTTGTACATATATATATGGTGATGAGATTTGTGCTGTTATATGTTGTGGTGATGTTATTTGTGCTGTGCAGATGGGTCGTGGTGCGAGCGCGCGACGCTGTGCGTGGGTGCGGGAGGACCTGTGAGCGGCATGCTGCTGTCCGCGGGCCGACTGTGGTGTGCCACGCATTCCCACATCAAGATTATCAACCCGCACTCCTTGCAGGTACAAAACAACATATAAACTCCTTACTCTACATTGATAAGAATATGAAACATGATATAGATGAGTGTGTAAATGTCGCTCGTTAATATTTTAAAATTCTACCGCTTAATATTTTGTGACTCCTGGAAAAACTTTACCCTTAAGTTACTAAGAGTTAGGCAGTTAAACATAGTTCCTAGGTCTTAATAAATGTGTATAATTTTTGAGACCTAGTGACTTGTGATAGTTCTTTTCCTGACTAAAAGCAATATGATTGTGGTTATTTTGTCAGGTTGACGAAACATTCCAAATAAGTTCCGAGTCGAAGCCGATAAGTCACATGGCGGTGGCGGGCGGCTCCATCTGGCTGGCGCTACACAACGCGGCGCAACTACGCTGCTACCACGCCACCACGCGCGACCAGCTCGCCGAGATCAACATCACGCCGCAGGTCACCAAGATGTTACATGGTACGGGGACATTTGGCACTCCCTCATTGCTACTTTGATTCGTTTTACAAGAAATGTTAACCTAATGAGAAGTAGGTATAACTTAAAATAGACATATCCATGTTCAAGCACAACAAACGCCCCCCCCCCCCCTAAACGGAAAATCTTATAATACATCTGTTACAATATTTCTTATAATACAAAAAATCTTGATCGATAGTAAAGTACACAGACTTTAGTCGTCCTGTAACCTTTATTACACAGTTTTTAATGATTATATATAATTTGTATGGTAAGGTTGCGACGAGATAATCCGGCAGCACAAGGCGGCGTGCCTGCGTGTAACGGCGCTGTTGGCGCACCGCGACACACTGTGGGTGGGGACCAGCGCAGGCGTGCTGCTCTCTGCGCCGCTACACAACTCGCCAAATAAGCGCACTGGCGCATTTACCGTGCCGCATCTCACCGGTTAGTCCACCAAACAAACATTAGTGCAAATTGTATATAAATGTACAACTTTCATACACCTACACTAATTTTTACACACATTTGAATATACGTTTATACAAAAATTCGTATATAATTTTAATTCATTTACTTGTACACAGATTTACACAATTTATCATGATGTATATACGTGTTTTTGTACACACTTTTGTGAAATGAACATTAAATCACACATTTTTAAAATTATGTGAATAAATCACCCATTGAGATCATACCAAAATACTACAATGTTTTTAATTTAATGTTGCATTTACAAATTATAATGTTAACAACTATTGGCTTTCTAGGTATTAACTACGGCCACACTGGCCACGTACGATTCTTGACCGTTGTCGAGAATCCAGCGCCGCAAAAGCAGCCCGCAAAGCCAACGCAGACTCTCAAAACGAAAGCCCTAAGCCGACGCTCAGCTAATGCGGAGAAAATGCAAAAACAAGCCGAAAATACCCAAAATAACAAAGAAACTTTAATAATTTCCGGAGGAGACGGCTACGAAGATTTCAGAAGTTCAACGATGTCCGAAGACGCTGGGCGAGAGGACTCGACAAATCATTTGCTTCTTTGGAGAGTTTGAAACGAATCCACGGCCTACAGGGTTACAAGAAAACGAAATGCAACCGTATGCGTTTCGTATTAAAGTTTTAAATTGATGTTAGGTGTTTGTGACGCTTGAATCGAAATATCCAAGAGCCTGATCGTCCTGAGCTAAGGATGGATACTCGTCAGCGTATGAGATTATTAAGTTAGGACATTAAATGTCAAATCATGAACGTTTTGTCGAAATTACGAATATATTTCTAACACGCAGTATTATTAAAATGGTTTCTTTCGGTCCACAACGGCCTGCTATGTACCTTATAATAGAAGTTTTAAATATAATAAAAATGTTTTTAGAAAAAATCTATATACTTGTAACTTGTCCATATCATGAAAGTGTTGAATGGCCATATATCTGTTATATTATAGATCGACGAGGATATCTGACCCGGTGGGCAATAGAGAAACTAAACTACGACAGCTCACTAACGCCCTCCGTCAGTGACAAAAAGTGTTGATCCTTTTTGAATTAAAGCTGTCGTATGGTTTTATCTCATCGGGCCAAATACCCTTATCTGACTAGACGTGTCAGTTAATTTTGATTAACTCTCACAATTGTAAATGTACAGATATTTTACTATTAGATTTTAGAAAGAAATATAGATGTAATGAATTAAACAAATATAACGTGAATCGAATAGTTATATAGTTTTTTTTTGCAATTTAAGAACTGCACGTGTGTACACGTTGCCAATTGTAATGGGTTTCCGAAACATTTATACAAACATGTCTATCTCACTTTTATCATAGAGAATGAAAGAGATATCACTGTGTTTTTGTATGAATGTTACGGTAGTGAAAACTTACGATTAGAAACATTTGTTTTGCGCTTCTATGACACTATTATTTAATAAGTTTACCATTTCTTTGAGGCTTCTTGACCGCTTGTACCGTATTAAAAATAGGTGGTACGTTTATAAAAATTGCATTACTAGAGAAAATTTTTAATCATAAATATAGTTAAAATATTAGATGGAAAAATGTCTACTGTACGATTTTATCAATATCTCTATGTCTATATTATCAAAATATATGTGTTGTGAGAATATAAAAAAATTGACATATAAATTAATTGCTCAAAAAATGTTCTCTTCAAACCTACAGGAGCAACTGATTGTTAAACGCTTGAAAAAAGTAGGTATTCTGTACTTATAATATTGCAAAATGATTAAATGACGTCGCACTAAACAATTATTTTATTTTACTGACATTATTAATTATTAACGCAGGCTTACACTGTCGAAAGACCTGTTCAAAATGCATTCGTAACTCTTATTCCTTATAAGAAAGAGATTGCATTCCGTGCTTAAAATAAAACCTCTTACGCTCGGTTGGTACAAGGGAGCAGGATAAATTAGACACCAAAAATGACATACATACCGTTAAAATTTTATTTTAGGCATCTTTCGTTTCTCACTCTTTTCTTATAAGAAAAGGATGCAGAGTAATAGAAAATATTCTGTTCCGTGCGTCGCAGTACAAGCGATAGGCAACAGATAATTAGTCTTTTTTTTTCAAATAAAACATGTTATTTGCCACAGTGTTTATTGATAATAATTGCGCTAATTACATGTAATTAATTAGAAAGGTATTGCAGCCATTTAAGAAATACAGCTATAACATATAGCTATAGTTATACTACATATACTTTCCATACGTAGCTCCTACATTTTGGTAAAATAGGATTTAAATATATTTAACGAACATCAGTAACATTTTAATCGCATTTTGACGCCATTTGATTAATAAGTACTTCCAAATTTTCATTATCAATCTTCGTATTGTCGTTTTTCTTTCCTCTACTAACAAAATATGGATCATCTTGAAGTTGTGCAGCTAATTTCTTCAATATAGTTCTTCTGTCTCTATCACTCTCGTTAACATCTCTTTTAACTTTATTCTTGTCTCTTTTTGATAATAAATCAATGGTTGAACAAATTAATTCGGATGCTTTATCGAAATCATTTTTTGAGATCGTCGCGTTTCCAATTTTAACATTTTCGAGATTTTTTTTACCTCGAGCGATATAATAAGGATCGTTTCGGACAGATTTAACAAGTTCTTCTATCACACCCCGTCTACCTCTAGGTGTTTCAAAAAACTTTTTGCCTCTGGTGATAAAGAATGGATCATCTTCAGCCGAAGAGCGACTACTTCTCTCTACTAAAATGTAACGCGGTTGGTCTGCATACATTCTATCATCAAGTATCGTTTCTGGTTCCGTTGGTTTGAAATGTAAACTAAAATCAGACGTGTCCATAGAATTTGCTTTGTTCCGTAATTTGTTACCTATTATCCCTGTTAATAAATGTAACAGTTTCCTTTCATGTTCTTTGTTAAAATTATCTAAAAAGTCATCGCTTCTACGCTGTCTTGAGTTTTCCATATTATTTTCAACGTTATTCATCATTTTAGAATAATCTCTTAATTGTCCTTTAGGTACATATTTTTCCGAAAAAAGTCCTCTTTGTGTATTTATGTTACTTGAAGTTGCACTTTTTCGTCTACCACGACTACCCCAAAACGGTTCAATAGTATCTCTTCGACCTCTGTTACCCCAAAATGGTTCAACATCATCAATGAAAACTCCATTGGTTGTAAGTTTTCCAGCTTTTCTTCTTCCTCGATTACCCCAAAAAGGTTCAATATCATCCCGATCCATCATCATTCCATTTAAAATCTTCTTGTTTTTTACTTTTATCTCTTCTCTGCGTCCACGGTTGCCCCAAAATGGTAAGTCCTGTTCTCTTCGTCCTCTTGTTCCCCAAAATGGTTCATCCTCCTGTCTCCTTCCTCTATTACCCCAAAATGGATTATCAGGGATAGTGTTGTCGTCAATTTCCTCCGAACTCCTCCTGCCACGATTGCCCCAAAAAGGAGATAGAGTCTCTTTTGTGCCACCGGTGTTAGTCAATAAGCTTTTGTAGCAGTTTTTACAATTTTTCTGTGGATAATCATCAGCGTATAATTCTTCTTCGGAGCTTTCTCGTCGTCCCCTCATTCCCCAAAAAGGTTGATCCAAATCCGAATTCATTTGATTTTCTTTCTCTTCTAATTCATTATCGATAAACTTAGAGCTCAGAGGCAGAAGTATCTTTTCAGGCTCAATACTCAACGATCGTTTCATTCGATTCTCTTTAAATTTTCCGTTCATCTCATATTTCTTATTTGGATTATTCTTAGGTAATGTACCATTCTTGTGACATGTTATATGATTTATTAAAAGGACCAGAGATGGTAACAAAAGCAACCACTTTTTCAGCATATTGGTGTCTGAAAAAAGAACATTATATTATTAGCCGAATCACATAATGTTAACATAAATTTAAACCCAAAAAAAGGATTCGTTGTTAAAGAAAATTCACTAAATGAATTATAATTTACTGTAAATTATTTTACTTACAGTTTTACTGCAGTTTTTGAGTTTTGATCAAAATCATAATCACCGAAGAGTTCTTCCAATGCTTCTAGCACAGTGTCCACTAAAACGTATGCTCCGTTTCTGAATGCGGTTTGATTTCTCCTCAGGTTTATATAGTAGCGCGGCAGCCCTATCCCCAAGGGCTGTCACAACGTATTTCATTTTTTACCCCTAACCAAGTTCTACCGGGACCGCGACTGTTATTAAATTAAAACATTGCTAGTTGCGTATTGCTTACGACTGTTATAAGGGGAAGCTACCTTCCTTTACTTCTTTTGTTACTTTAAATTTTACAATAATAATTACAAAAAAAAACTTGCCAGGCAAAGAAGGCTAGCCCTTCCCCCTGATCATACTTAATATAGTACCTTAGAAGACCACTAACATTAAGTATTGTTCCAAATTAATTTTTTAGCTTTGTAAGCAGCCCTAGATCATTTCAACAAAAATCAAAAGGGCCAACCAATGAATATATTAAACTTATTTTGACTATAATATGTAAATCAATTGATATCGGCCTCACTTTCACTGAAGCAGATTTATCGAAAGGCAAGAGTTTTCGACATATTTAGAACAGTTGATGTTAGTCGGCCGTATATCCCTTTAGTATAGATGAAATCTACATTAAGGGACTGTTAATGTAACCATTAACGATTCTGGGTATGGTAAAAATTCGTAATTTATTTCTTTATCTGCATTTTTTTAAAGCTCCCGTTTTTAGTGACCGCATCTTAAAGGTACGTGCGCGGTCGCTTGACATTTGTGTCCAGTTGCTTTGATTACATTTGGCCACTAAGGATGAGAGGATGTGTGGCTAAAATGGGAGACTAATATTATAAAAAATAACGTGTAATTAAAATAAAGATATGGTACCTGGCACCAATTAAGTTGATATTTTATTAATATCATAAATGCCAATGTTTGGATGTATGGACGGATGTTTGTTTATATGTATCTCCAGAACGGCTACACGGATCTCTCTGAAATAGACATAAATGTAGAACATAGTGTGTAGGAACACTATGCTACTAAATTATTTTTGACCATTAGAATTAAAATGTAAAAAAGTGATACATTTATTGCAGATATATTACTATTAATTAATCCTAATTGCAAGTTTCACAATAAATCACATTTGATAAAATTAGCATGCATGAACAACTTGGACAACAAAGCGCATGTACTACAGAGAAATAGAAAGAAGAAGAGAGTGGTCAACATTGTTTATAGTTCGCATAGTATGTAAAATGACAAAAAATCAATGTAAAAAAATAAATAAATTTTGAAGTATGCACCATTATTCCCCAACTTCCCTTTTGTTCCTATGTGTGTTAGTTTAACAAGATTGCTCTTGTACATATTACACGCGCCGGTAAACACTTTCAATGCTGGAAATGTATAAATACTGTGGTTCTTTCTGAAAACCGTACATTTCGTCTTTTACCACGCACGAAGCAGGTTCTCGACCGTATTTGAAGCAATATAAAAAAAATGTTCACTTAAAATCAACATTATAAACTTAATAGATTAATTACTTTTAAAGGAAATATCAAAAAAGTTAGTCGACATCACAGTACTAGTTGTAGAGTACTAATATAATAAATGCAAATGTCTGAATGGATGGATGGATGTTTCTTAGAAGGTATCTTCAGAACAACCGTATGGATATCGTTGAAATTTTGCATGGATAGAGAACTCTTTTAGAGTTAAGCTCACCTGTACATCATTGTATTTCTATGTAGTGTTGTTACACTATGTACTTTAAACTGTGTACAAAGCTTAAATAAATAAATAAACAGTCTGAAGGAACACATAGGCTACTAATTAGGTTTTTTATTTAATTAAGTGCGGACGAAGTCGCGGGCGATGTCTTGTCTATTATAGATTTCTTGAGCATTACGTGTTTTATGCTAGTTTCAGAATAAGAATTGATCGTGATATATCCATCGTATTCTGTAACCGGCCATGACGCTACGTAGATTTAGTAACATTTATTTTTGAACACACAAATTGAACACAACATCGATATAAATTTTTCGACGCATTGATATTACGAAAAAAACTAAAAATAGTTTATATGCAACTTATGTTGGATAGAATAACTAAGAATGTTTGATTAATATAATTTATATTTATACTAGCTTATAACCGCGACTTCCTCCCACCGGAATTAAAAAAAAATCGTAATAACTAGCCCATATATTCTTTAAGACTATATTCTATATCTATGATAAATAACATCCATCTAAACATTACATAACCTTATAAAATTCGTGAGAACAAAAATAATAAAAAGAAAATCTTGAGACGGTTAATAATAATCACAAACCATACTTTTAAGTAAAGTAAGAAAATATCGAGTTAAAGGCGTAGCTCGTAGCACCCAAGGCTCTACGATCTTAATTACAAAACACGTAGCGCTTAGCGTAGACAGTGGACAACAAAACTATTTAATGAGTGGTTTTATTAACTTAACATATATACCATAATTTTGACAACGCTTTAGAATATTATCATGTGTTAATAATAATATTTTATTATATTTATTTATTTTGCGCCACTGGAATATGTTTATTGCCTTTGACGAGACGGAGCGTAATCCCCGAGAGAGATTGTAAAAAGAAACTACACTTTCCTTTCAAGCTTACCCGCTATGACGTTGACTGTTTTTACACTTTCAACTTTATAAGTATACATTTCTAAAGGAAATAAATATGGAATAGCGTATTTACTACGAACTCCGACTTTATTTACATAGAAGAAGACGAATTCAAACGCCAGCCAGTTTTGAGCTATAAAAAATTATTCAGTCTTATAAATTGTTTTACAGTTAGTTTCTAAGCTCAACTTCTCTGTATAAATATGACAAAACAGAGATAAAAATATGTTTTAAATGGGGATTATTAGTCTCAGAAACCCACGGTAAATCGTTTGAGAACGAGCCATGATACAGGTATCAATTATAACACTTCGTTTAGCTGAAATAAAAGACCTTTTATCCTACACTGTAGTCTAAAAGTACATTAAGTATGACCTAGGTTTCTTTGAATAAGGACTTAAAGGAAGTTCTATCGTGCCTGACCTTTTTGCTTTGTCTACAAGTTAAACAGTAACTCTAATCAACCAACATTTTGTCGGCAGTATAATAATTATTACAAAATTATTAAATACAAGGTGAAGTAATTTACCGTTGATTTAACGCTGGTTTCTGACATACCAAAATGTCCGTTTCAAATATATTGTTATCTCTGTTTTGTCAAAATTAAAGACAGGGATGACGATATGTTTTATACAGAGATAGTCTCAGAAACCCACGTAAAATAGCAAGTTCCTGTACAACGTGACTAGGACATTGTCTTCTATCATTGTAAAAACAATTGAGAGAATAATATATATATATAATGGATGAATGTTCAGGACTGGAAATGTTTACGTAATGTTCAAGAAGCAAATCTTTCCTCTCATTCGAGTTGTAATATAATATTATATATGAAATATTAATAATCCAATGTCATAAATAATAATAGCAATTTTGTCATAAAATATTCATTATTTTTTATTTATGTTAAAAGCTTTCAACTATGAAATGACATTATATGAGTAGTATAATTGATAGAAAATAGAAACTATTATTTTAAAGGATATTACGTAATCACTTAACGAAAAGTAGGCGATCTATTAAAAACATTTTTAAAATATTGATTGCTTTATTTATAGCAAGTTTACTTCGCAATGTTTCATACGTTTATGTCGTCTACGTCTTTTATATAAGAATGTATTAGGTACATGTGTAATTGAAAACAAATAAATCATTTACCGTGAGTTTCTGGGACTATAATCTCTGTATAAAACAGAGAAAACGATATGTTTAAAACAGGATTTTGGTCTCAAAAACTCACGGTTACTTGGTGAAATACTGTAACATTTTAAAAGATGTTATACTGTGCATTAAGTACAAAAAAATTTTTGCCTACCAACAGAAAGGTCTTCTATTAGTAAGTTAAGGTATAATACATAATTTTTTGGGCTTTCACAAGCCAGCACAAGCCGCGGACGAAAGCGAAAGCGTGCCCGTGGTCCCGTCCCGATGCGTCAGAGGGCAGTCAGGTTTTAGTGGGTATTCTGGTCACCTTCTGTGGCCGGCGAGTCCCACACTCCCTACGCCATTGCACCGCCCGGCGTAGGCGTGCGTAAATGCATTTCCTGACTATAAAAAAAAAAACGCCGAACGAGGTGACAGTTCTATCTATATATAGGATTTCTTTAAGAGTCAATTAAACATATTACTACAGAGTAGACAAGAACGAAGAGATTAAAACCAATTTAAATTGAAATGAATAATTTTAAAAACAAAAACAATTTATTACAAAATTTTAATAATATAATTATTTTATTATTAGATTTAATTGCACACATTGATATATTGAAAATGTCTGTATCCCTCCCCATACGTTGACTTTCAGCGCTTTTCCAAGCACATGTGCGCAATTGCAAACATACTGTCTCTTTCATACGTTAGGAAAACTGCTTCGTCTATCTCGCTCTTCTGCGTGAAGGCGGGAAAACGAGATATTGTGCCAGTTAGACCTGTAGATTCGCGCGACTGGACAACACGCCTTTTATTTTCTTACAATTTCGCTACCAAACAACCGCATCTAACTTTTTTTTTTAAATTTTCTCTATTCAGTGTTTGTGCTTGTGTAGTTTAGTGCATTAATTTTAAGTGATTAGAAAACATTAATGTTTAAGGAAAGTGTAAATATTGAAAGACGTAATAGTGAGGTACGTTATTTTTAACTTTTAATTAAAAATAATTATTAATTTATTTTACAAAAATTTTATTTTAAATATACATTTTTTTAAACGAACGTTGGTTTGAATTATGTGAAAATTAATATATAAATTAATAAAATAAAAATTAATTTGCTAGATTATTTAGGTATTTCAATTTGATTATAAAAAAGTTATTGAACTCCTATAGGATTTGGCTTATATTTACTATCATACAAATGATCCGTTATAAATTAAAGCCAGTAAAGCTTAAGCTCGTTAAAATATAAAGAAATAAAAATACTTCTCAATACAAATATCTTCTCGTTTTATAAAAGCTCTTGTTTAATGTGTACCTCAAAAAGCTCATTAGAAAAGTTTTAGCGGGACAATGCTGAAGTGAAATATAATTTTCCGTCACGTATAGCGCTCCTCGTGTTTGCGATAGTTTTTAGGTCATGGACGCCATTTATTTTATTCTTAAACAAATTCAAATATAAATATGAAATATAATTTAAGGGTTGTGAAAAAAAATGTTGAAATAACTGAATTTTTTATACAAGCTTTTCACAATTTTATCTCTAAAATTGTTTTTTTTTTTCGTCCGACAATCCGTCCCCATCTTTGTGATTAAAAAGCCTTCCTCTATTTGTGATAACTGTTAAATAAATGCTTATAATATAACATTTTCTTATCTAAATGTATACGTAAAATGTTTATAACAACATATTTTATATATTACTAGCTGTCGCCCGCGACTCTGTCCGTGCGTAATTGAAAAAAGAACACAATTAGTTCTCGGCCATTATTAAAATTTTTCTCACATTTTAAACCTTGCCTAGACCTCCACGAATATTTCAAGACTAAGATAAGATAAATCCGTTCAGCCGTTCTCGAGTTTTAGCGAGACGAAGAACAATAATTGTTTTTTATATATAAAGATAAAGATGACGTAAGCAATATATGCCATACTAAGCATAGTTGTGGTTTCTCATTAATTAAACTATTCAAACATCATGTTCATGTTCTCATCTGTGAGATGGACAGTTGCTTAATATATCTTGTTTTAAACCTAATTTTTCTTATCTTCTTAATTGTATGTATAGGTGTGCGTATTTTGGCGAAGAAAATATTATACATAAAACGTGGTTAATGTATAAAACTGAAATTAAAAAACTGATATTAACACATAATAATTAATATTATATTAATAAGTAAAGCAAAAAAGTTATTTTTTTTTTTAATTTTATAATAAATATTTTAATATGCAAAAAGCAGTTTGTAATAAAAAAAAATAATTGTGAATTTCAACCAATGAACGAGTACTACTTTTATTAAAAAGTGCCAGTCGTTAATCGACTATAAGAATATGCTTGAAAAATGTCTTTCAACGCTTTCATACATTTTATTATGAATGTGCGATATGAAACTTCACAGACCGTAGATATGAAATGTAGAGTCGGCCTAAGAATCTTTGCGGTATTTTTTTTTTAACTAGTACATGGATAGTATAACGTATTTTATTAGTAAAAATATCTTACGATCGTAGCCAGTCAAGGAATACTGAAAATATTTACTTTTATTAAGTTGATATTAAATAGAATAAAATTATATGACATACGTAAGTTAAGTTGAAACTGCACAGTAATATCTAAAAGTGTGCAGTCGGCTTTAAAAGCGTTAAATGACGTCACCACGCTATAAAATTGTCACGTTTGTCGTATTTCCAGCGTAATATTATCCTTTGTTGGTGTGCTCTACAATTCTTTGTTCTTACGACACTCGCATGTTATGTTCTATATAAAACTGTTTTTGTTAATGCAAATTAGATATGTTCTTTGATTTATTATTCCCATTTATTTTGTTATAGTAATTAATTCAATCCAACTTAGTAACATTTTTTCATACTAAAGAAATGTAGCAAAAGGACTAACAGTGTTTTTTTTTTTGTTTCAGGTTAATTAGTGAAGCGTTATATCATAAAATTACGTTCTTAAACGCACGTTCTTTGCCAAAAGTATGTTATAAATATTTATATGATCAAGTGCTAAGATTATATATATAGAACTATTTGACTAAAGTAAACATTGCCGTCTTACTTTATGATACATTCGGTAATATTTATTATTGGATCTTTGCCTATTTATATTATCGTGTAAGCAGTTACTGTGAATTTTATTAAAAATAAATAATGTTTAAAATCTGACAAGATATGTAATTTAAAAAAAATATTCCAGTTTTGTAAATATTAAATAAAAATCGTTAAATATTAAGAAAATAAAGGACAGAGAATTTGAAATGAGACCAGGAAAGGTACACCAAAAGTGAGTAATATTTAAAAAACAGGAAGTGTGAATTTAATATGTAGTTTAAAAAAAAAAACTTTAAAAAATTATTTACAAAAACAAAATAAAAATAACTTTCATATATTCTGAAAATTATTAACTTTTAAAAATAAATAAAATTAAGCTATTTTAATATGGAAAACGTAGAAGAAATTATACTTAAAATTATAAATTTTAATAAAGTAAAATAATTTAAATTAACTCCGCTATTGCTGACTATAAAGATATAAGACAAGGAATAATTAAAATGGCGTCTCCATCAACAACTCCAAAAGCCCCTTCTCCCCCGCCCTCGGGACATGGGCCAAGCAAAATGGAAAGAAGAATGTCACATTTCAAAGAATACAAGTTCTTCAGAAGCTTTAGTGCTAAAGTGGAAAACTGGCCGATGAGAAAAGCCGAGCAATTATGGAGGAAAATGAGGGAACGAAAGATTGCAGGTAAGCAAACATAGATTTTTAAATTAAAACTATAAAAAAGATATTCGCCCAACGTGGGGCTCGAACCCACGACCCTGAGATTAAGAGTCTCATGCTCTACCGACTGAGCTAGCCGGGCTTGTGTATTGATCACTGAATATAT